CATTCGGGCCACACTAGAAGACAGCTGCAACTTTCACCCTCCAATCTCGTGTTGGTTGAAGGCGCTATTTTTAAATGAGGAATTTCAACAAAAACAGGACAGTGGTCTTTAATGTACAATCCAAACAAGGAACCAGGCTGAGGTAGGAAATTGGCGGTCACGCAACGCGCTCTGCTGGAAGTCAAACAAAGCCTGGCAAAGTCTCGAACAAAAATGAACTATTGTTCAAAAACTGTTCCAAGGATCACAAAAATAAAGATGAATGAGGCCACGAGTTTTTGTCGCTTGAACTCATTCAAGTCCTACACTGGACCAGAATAAGTGCTTAGGTGAAATAATGATCTGAAAATAGTTATTTGAGGAAATTTGGTCAAACTCAATTCGAGGAGGGTCGAGCATTTCTGGAAATAAGCTTTTTGAGCAAATCCGGCATGCGTCGACGGTCTTGCTGACCTCGTAGGTGTGGTCCAGGCGGTAGACGGGCACAGAGTTGATGGCGCTGACCACCTCCAGCACGCCGTTGAAGTTGTTGAGCTCCTGAAAGACCTGCAGAATCTCGATGACGCGCGTCCACACCGCCACGCGCTCCTCCAGGTTCATGGTCTCCACGATGCACCTGCCACCCAATTTCCGACACTTAATTCGGGCGGCGCCGCAAATAAGCACTCGTCGGTGCGACGCTCACTTCTCAAACCACAGCGTGAGGTTGGTGGTGTGTCGGATCATTCGGAGCAAGTTGGGCGAGTTCTTCTCTTTGTCCTCTTTGGTCCACACGCTTCCCACCAGCTCGGACGGCCGCACGGCTCTGCGGATGGCAGGCCGCCGTCAGCGACCGTTTCTCGGCGGTCGCCGGCTCCACGGCCGCCCACTCACCTGTAGAGCTCGGACTCCAGCAGGGTCAGCTGCCGGGCGATCTCGATGGGGTGCAGGGTCATGAGATCGAAGGAGTCCACCTGGCCGGTGCGGCAGATGTGCCACTCGATGGGCGGGGGCGGGCTCTCGAAGGTGATGTTGTGGCTCACGCCGTTTGACTGCGTCTGCAGCTTGCGGCGGATGATCTTGTTGATGGACTCCACCCACTTCCGCATGGACTTGCCTGTGGTCAAAAGCAGAGGAATCGGGTCATGGAGCTTCATTCAAAGTGGAACTAGTACGGACCGGTGACTTTTTAAATCACTGCCCGACTAAGTGGGGATATCGGTCCAAATAATAATCACAGTTTATGTTTTTAACGGCCATTTTTTGGACTTGAAAACGACCTCTGTATATCATATCTTTTAGTTGTTATTGAAAAATGTTTCTGCCAAACGTCGGAATCGCCCGAAAAAAAAAAAAAAAAAAAAAAAA